TTTTCCCACAGGAAGGATTCTTATAATTAATTCCAAAATCTTATTTCAAGTCCATCTGGACCCTTAGTCTGTTTGTAACTTTCCAGAATCAAAGTTCTAATCACCTTTTTGCTGTTTATTCCAAAAGAATTTTTTTTAAGACCTTAAACTTGTACTTAAAGCTTCTTTCACTAAGGACTGAAGGAAACTCACCTGGTGCTATAAAACTTGTCGATCCGAAAGCTCCTAATAGCTGAAAAGCAGTTAACGAGCAATTTCCAAAAGTGATTAGAAAGGGAAGTATGTGAACCCTGTCTCCTTTTGAAGGCGCCGACCATGGTTTGAGCAAGGTGACTATTCCCTTGTTGTCAGCCTTACTAGATAGGCCACACAGGAAACATAAGGAGATAAACTAATTCTTCTTTATTGTAAATCTACATTAACAGAATCTTGCAAGTCTGAATGTACAATTCTCCCACCGTCACCTTTACAGCCTGAGAACATAGGGAGGGTCCCTTCTGAGCCTCTTGCTCCACCCATTATGCAGCTGCAGGATATGCTGTCTCTTATCTTACTGTTCCCTAGGCAGTATCTCATTGCCCTGTCTCTCAAGGTTTTTCCCACATACCATTATACTTTTCTCCCAGAGCTCTAAACCTGCTGGAGACTGCTGTCTTGCGGTCTCCTTGTGAGGAGCCACTGTATGGAGCACTTGTGGGCGATCTCAAGCCCTCTCCTTCTCCAGAGAGGAATTATGAAGAGCTGGTCTACTTGCTGGCTCTTCATTCTGCTGCGATCATTGGCTCCATTGCAGTTTGCCATTTCTTCCCCAGAAGTCCCTATTGTGGTGCATTTAGTTGTGTGTCTGTCTGTATTTCTTTGCATGTATCAAAAATATCAAATCAATATACCCTTGTATATCGATAGGCTTTTGCTGTAAACCACAAGCTATGAATTGTAGTGACTCAAGGAAGGAAAGAAGGAAGCAGTCAATTAATTGGATGTTTTGTTAGTGGTTCACTTCATTTAAAAGAGTGGTCTATATTTCTAGCAAAATCAAGTTATAACCTGTTCCTGAATAATGCTGATTTACGGTCCACTTTTTCAACACTTCTTTTAATGTAAAAGAAACTCTGCAAATGGAAAACTCGCACTCAAGAAAGCCCAGTCTCTTCCTGATGTGCTTAGTTTCTACATGCAAAGAGGTATCTTTGTATCTTTTTCTTGAAGGAGCGCTCAGTAACACAATGCCATCTGTTGCCTGAAGTAGAAAAATCTTGAGAAAGAATTTTTAATTCTTCTAGGCAAGTAGGTTTGCCCAGTAATTTTAAAATTGTCCTTAAATTTGAATAGGGAACACAGGTAAGGGAAGCAAAAGAGAAAATTAAGAATTAGAAGATCAGACTGTGCCCACTTATGGGTGGATGTTTTTCCCCAACTATTTCATAAAGTTTGTTCTCTTGCTCCATTTCATATCACCTGCATATTGAATTTCCCACCCCAGAACGTGAGGGCTTCTCCAGTTTTGGTAGTTACTCCCAAGGTTAGTTAAGGCTCTAGTCAGAAACAGATGGCGAGATGGTCAAGCTTGTGGATCCTAAAGCTTGTGGATCCTATACCGCTTCATGCTACTGAAGAAGATTTCACTTGGGCCGATGCTTTTATGAGCATGGATAAATCATTTTACATTTTAATTTTTGTAAGGGAACTTTCAATCATTTCCTTCCTGAACCTAGAATCTGACAGGTAATGGTTGCCTTACTTCACCTGCTCTTGGTGTGAACTAGGTTTTAATTCTTCCTCTTGGAGGACCTAAGACATTTGATGGTTTGCTTTCTAGTGGTTTGAGAAGGTGGAGGAAGAGTAGGAAGGAAGAGCAACATAATCAAGTTCTGGGATGGGTTTCCTCCACTTTGTGGCCTCTAGATGTCTTTGATTGGAATACCCATTATCCCATGCCAGAGGTAATGGGACTTGTAGCCTGGTACCTCTAGAAAGGGCCAGATAGGGGAAATCCAACGTGGTTGATCCCTTTGAAGAAGACAGAACCAGGTGAGGCAGTCTGGAGATGTCAGGATTCTTGGGTCCCTTCCTTCTGTCCAAAGATACTAATGATGGCTGGTTGCCATCATTATACCGCGTGTCATTTGGTGTCTGCGTCTCTTGCTACCATGTTTGGGATGTGAAGCCTAAAAGAGGGGCAGGAATCCCTAAAGTGCTGCCTGTTCTCTGCGTCACGCCTTACCTTTCGTATGCATCTCTCCATCCGTCTGTCTGTTCCTCATCCGTCCGTTTGTCCTCTCCACCCCCTGCCCTTCCCCCTTCCCCCTTCCCCTTCTCCCGACAGCTCTGCTGCTCAGCAACCCGGCTTACCATCTCCTCCTGGCCACCTATGCCCAGCCAATGGGAAGGCCTGCTTTCCCGCCACCCAACCAGGTTAAGCCAATCAACACCAATGGTAAGGAGGGCGCTGAGCTTGTGCGGTGCGACTGGGAACCTGGGTGGCCTCACTCCATGCTCAGAACATCCTGCCTTCTGCAGTTTCTCTCACTCCTGCCGGGGGGTGCTGTCTGTCTGTCTCCCTCTTTCTTTCCTCGCCATGTCTGTCCCCAGTTCATCTCCCTCTTGTCGACCCCATGCATGGCTAACCCCTTTTGCTCAGACCAACATTTCACCTTCCGCTTTGCAGGTTCTGCGATGCTGCAGCTTCTGGAGTGGAGGAGGGTGGGTTGGGGCAGGATTTTATGTGGGCTTCTTTAGTCCAAAGCAGAGCTCCAGCTGGCTCTGAGCTTCTGATGGCTGCTGGGTTCCTACAGATGCAGCACAGTTGGGGTTGGGCAAGTCCTCCAATCCTCTTTCTCCACCTCTGAAATGACTCTTGTTTTCCCTTTCTTTCTCTCTTTCTCCTGCTGCAGCATGTGGGATTGACTACATGGAACCAGAAATGGCAGCCAGCCAGCCGGGCTTCCAGAACAACGTGCCACATTATGCTGAAGCTGACATCATCAACTTGCAGGGAGTGACCGGGGGGAACACATATGCTGTCCCTGCTGTTGCGGTGGATGCCCTGGCTGGCAAGGACATGGCAGTAGGGGAATTTCCCCGGGAACGACTGATCTTCAAGGAGAAGCTGGGTGAAGGACAGTTTGGAGAAGTAAGTCCAGCTCAATGTGTGGCATAGGTTGTACTATGCAAATGGAAAGGTGAGATACACATCTTCAGTGAAGTAAAGTAGTAGAGGCATAATAATAGATGCCACCAAAGCTTTAGATTAAGTTGTTGGCATCTCTAAGCCTCAATCTAGAGTTCTAACTCAAAGCACAAATGGTCAGGCTCAAATTATCAAATTTTGGACCCATTATGTGAAGAATTAGCTATCTGTAGAAGTCTGAAAGGCTTGGAAAGATGGAAGATGAAGGAAGAAGAGGACAACCAGGTGGAATGGACTTGATTACAGTGGCGATGGGTGCACTGTTGGAAGACTTGAAGGGCTAGGTGGGGCCAGATCATCCTGGAGAAGGTCTGTCTATGTGGTCATGAAGAATTGACACTGACCTGATGGCACATAATCAATCAACATTTCTAAATCAGTTTGGTGTAGTGCAGTGTTGTCCAAACTTGGCCACTTTAAGATGAGTGGACTTCACTTCATGGCTGGCTGGGGAATTCTGGGAGTTGAAGTCCACTCGTCTTAAAGTGGCCAAGTTTGGACAACACTGGTGTAGTGGATAGAGGCGTTGGATTAGAAGCCGGGAGACCATGTGTTCTAATCCCACCTTAGGCACGAAGCCAAACTGGGCGACTTTGGGTCACTCACTCTCTCTTAGGCCTAGGAAGAAAATATTGGCAAGCCATTTCCAAAAATGTCAAGAAAACTGCACGGACTTGTTCCTGTAGACCAGGAGACTATTCTGGGAGTTGAAGTCCACACATCTTCAAGTGGCCAAGTTTGAGAAACACTGGCCTAAGCAATGCCTTTATATTATTCACTGTGCCCTTTATGATCCCATAATGATGGACCATTTCCTCATGGCTCTGTTCTCTTTCCTTGCAAGGTCCACTTGTGTGAGGTGGAGAACCCTCAAGATCTTCCAGGCTTAGAGTTCCCTTTCAATGTACGCAAGGGTCGTCGCCTACTGGTGGCTGTGAAGATTCTACGCTCTGATGCCACGAAGAATGCCAGGTGGGTGCCTGATGATGGGAAAAAAGTATGCAGTGTTAAAGAACAACCCATTATATACATTTTTCCAACCTGGCAGTTCTTCAGCATCCTGGGTGATATTTAAAATGTAGATCTTCTTAACCTGCTTGGCCGTTGCTAGGAATTCTGGTGTTGAAACCCACACATCAGAAAGATGTTCAGGTTCAGGAATGATATATTATGCCATGATTTCCAAACCTGATTTGCTCCAAATGTAGGTTGGCATAAGTGTCCATAATGGAATATTCTCAGCTATGCCTTGATAGACTTAATCTTTATTTGCCTGTCTTAAATGTTGTGTTAGCCCTAGCTTTGCCCAAGGCCCATATATCTCAAAGGAATTTATGGCTGCAGACTTCAAGAAAGGAGAATTGCTCTCTCCACATTAATCTGAGCTCCTCACTTACTTATCTGCTCAAGATTTCTCATTTAGGCTTTACCTAGGAGATAATTTGAGAGGATTATGTTGCCGCAAACGCCCTTAAGGCAGCACTCCCCCAGATAATTCCTTTTATACCAATCTAGAATTCAGCTTTTGTTACTGTGGAAATGCTCTGTTTAAGAATGCCTGCTTCAATATCCTTAGATTAGGAAGTGTGAGAGGTTGTGAGGAACCTGGGAAATGAATGGAAGAAAATACAAATGTAAACAATAAGAGATAGCAGTGGAGGAACCTGAGGAAAGCTTATCTCACAGAAGAGAGTTTAGCCCAGGTGGGGAGAAATTGGGGAAGAAGGATTTCAAAACATTCAAACAGACTCTGCCTTAATTACTTGACTATAAGCGAGGCTGAGAAATTTTTCATACAGTTTTCAGGATACTGAATTTACCCCAGACTAGAATTAAGGATCTTCTATGGAGATCTTTTATGTGGTTTTGGGGTTCCTTGGTCTTGCTTAGCTGCCTGGGGTTTGACAAGAGGAGGCACTCATGGATTGTCTGACCTCCAGGCCTGTTATGGTCTTGGAGCACCCTTCATTTGAAAATTGGCAGAAAACTGGCAAAGTTCTTTGGTGGGGCAATTTGGGACAGTTTATTTTAGGAGGAAGCAAAATAGGTATGTTAAACTTTTGCAGGCCTTAACATACATATTTATCTTTGCTGATCAATGACAAAATTCTTACCTGTTCCTTTTCAGACATTTCCATGTTGAGTGTCTGAATGTGAATGGAAATTTCCCTGTGATCCAGAACTGATGTTTCTAGATCATGAAAGTTTCTATTCACGTTCATTAGGTGCAAGTCCCCCCTTCCAACCTTACCTCTGAACATTTGATTAGAGTTACGTTATAGGTGGAAGGAAAGAGAAGAGGACAACCAGCAGCAAAGTGGATGGACTCAGTTACAGTGGTGATGGGGGCACCATTGGGAGACCTGAAAGACCAGGTTAGGGACGGATCATCATGGAGAAAATCTATCTATGTGGTTGCTAAGTCAACACCAATGTGATGGCACATAATCAATATGCTTACATTGATAGGAAGACTGCATTCTGAATGTTACAGATTGCTACAGTGCTTTGATGGCCAAAATGTGGGGATTTTTGATGGTTGGAAAAAAAATGGGAATGAATAAACAATCTGAGACCAGATGTCCTCTCTTGAGACCTGTAAACTACCTTCCTCATCTCCCTGTCCATGTCTTCTGTTGTCCATGTAGGAATGATTTCCTGAAGGAGGTGAAGATCATGTCTCGTCTGAAGGACCCTAACATTGTAAGGTTGCTGGGTGTATGTGTACAGGATGATCCCCTGTGTATGATCACAGAGTACATGGAGAATGGTGACCTCAACCAGTTCCTGAGTGGACATGAGCTGGAAGACAAGCTGGGTGGCAGCCCCAGCGGGAAACCCACCATCAGGTATCTATTCCAAATTTCTGAAATCAAAATCCAGCAAGGAACTGATACAGATTTGGGAGTAAATATTGACAACTGAGTTCTATGGACTTGGCATCACACTTTTCATATGCAAATGCCATCATGCTATTCCTTTTCAGGTTAAACTATGCAGGGCACAGAAAAGGAGTGAGGAGTAGTAAGCCCCCCCCAAAAAAAAATGCATGGGAAAAACAAAATAGCAAAAATGGCTTTACACCAGTGTCATTCTCCCTGCCTTCCTGTCCTTGTAAACCATCCATGTTTTTGCCACATTCTTACACTGCTTCAGATACTGCCTTGTGTTCGTTCGGCTTCTTGGTGCTCTCTTTTTTCCAGGTTCTCATCAACTCATCAGCCTTCCCTTTCCTCTTGACATCCCCTCTTCCTTCGTATATTAAAATTGTGATTTGATCCTCAGTCATTTTCCCTCTGTAGCCAAGCCTCCTCCAGGCACTTCTTTCAAACGGATCGCTTGCTTTTGTATTCAATCGGCAGTTAGTCGTCACTTATTTATTCTGGTCCCTCTCTCATTTCACCACACACATTTCTTAAGTACCCCATTTCTACTGCATTCGGCTTGCGTTTATGTTTCTTCTCAAATATCCAACTCTCACCCCCATATAATGCAACTCTTTGCATTATTTATTTAATTGTTTATTAATTAATTATTTTAACGATAATTAAATCTTAATATCTTATAATTTAATTTAATTTAAAATTTAATAATTAAGTGGTAATAATGACATTATTTATTGATTGATTTAACCATTTCCCCATTTTTATTAAACGTTTTACCATAGATACAACATCATCTGCTTGCTTTTTTGTCATTTATTATGATTTGTAATCGTCCACTCCGTTTTCCCTGTTAAATACCACTACCTTGGTCTTTGATATATTAATTTTCAGATCCATGCTGTCTGTTGCATCATACAGTCTGCCTAACATTCACTGCAAATCATTTGAATTCTTAGCCAACAACATGGCACTGTCTGCATACAAAAGTACACATATTTACATCTGAAACTCGTTCCACTTCTAAATGTCATAACAAGCATTTTTTATACATTTAACTATAAGTCCATTAAACACGCAGGGGGGTATCATGGATCCTTGTCTGACTGCTTAGTGTTGAATCATTTGCTAAGCATTTCATTTATTCTCGTGCGTACCTTACCTTCGCTGTCTACCGCTCTTACTCTTTGGAGCAACTAATTTTCAATCTGTTACTGCGTTCCACAATTCAGACTTACTCACTTTACCCTTCAGCTTCTCTGAATCAACAAACCAACCATGAATGTTTCATTCTCATGTCCAGATAGTCCTCAGTGATCTGCTGAAGAGCACAGAGGTTTGCACATCTGCCCAGCAAAAAGCCGCCACCATGCTCCTCAGGTTTTGCTCAGTCACCTCTTTGTACCCTTTCACTCTGAATTGTGCCAGACCCCTTCCCAGGTGCACTTAGTGACCTAATCCCCCTGTAGTTTTTACATTGCTACCTTTCCCTTGGCGTAAGAACAATAATGCCATTCTTCCAGTTGTCAGGCACAGCTGCAGTCTTCACAGACTTGTGAAACCAATCACGGAGCCATTCCAAAAGCAAACCAAATCCATTTTTTAAACATTCCTCCAATTACATTGTTTTTCAGCATTCTCCCACCATTTAAGACTTCTGTTTTATTGTTTTTTCCCTCTGGACACTAATATTTATAACATTCGTTTCGGTTTCACTCTTAATGCATCACTGTTGTTCCCATACAAATCTTTAAACTTCTTCCAGCATTTTCTCAGTTCAGTTTCATTCTCAATTATTTTATCATTTTTGTGTAATCCCATTCCCTGGGCTGTATTAGCCCTTTTCATCCACTTCCCAAAAACTTTTTTTTTAGATTAATTACTTTCAAAGCCAACAGAGATACATGTGACAGAGCTGTTTTTTGGTGGCATTAACCCTTCTTCCTCAAACGGGTCATCAAAATGCCACAGAATAGAATTATATCATGATTATTTTTGGAATATTGGTCACAGTTCCCAATGTTAGATGTCACTAGAATGTAAAAAGGATATAGAAAGGCAATGAATACGGCCAGTTGAATCTTAAACCGTTGCATTAGTATTGGTGACTAAGACTTCATATCTAAAGACCAGAGAAATAGCTGTCAGAGTCAAATTTTCAAAGCAACAATGGAAACGCAACAAGATGGATTTTAGCTTGGAACTTCTAGAAAAAATCAGAGATGGAAGTGCTCAGTTAACTGGGAAAAAGAGCGAGAAAGTGAGTTGCTGATGTTTCACTGAGTTTGGTGGGTCACTAAGCTCCTGAGATGACTTCACTTTGATTCCCTTGTATTTTAGCTTGCTTGGTTAAGTATGCCAGATGGGAATATCTCCTGTGTCTTGCTCTTGTAAGGAGGGAGTAGGTGAGATATATATACATTTTCTAAATATACATTCCTGCCATGTTTTCTTCCTTCTTCCCACTTCTCAGCTATCCTACTCTGGTCCATTTAGGGGCTCAGATAGCCTCTGGGATGGCTTTTCTTGCCTCCCTCAATTTTGTGCACCGGGACCTGGCGACCCGAAACTGCCTGGTGGGTGAAGGCTTCACCATCAAGATTGCAGACTTTGGCATGAGCCGGAATCTCTATACTGGGGATTATTACCGCATCCAGGGCCGAGCAGTGCTTCCAATCCGCTGGATGGCTTGGGAGTGCATTCTCATGGTGAGTATGTGAAGCTACAAGCTTCATCTACAGGTAGTCCTCACTTAACAACTGCCTGATTAGGGACTGTTTGAAGTTATGATGAAGCAATGGTAGCGTAAAATTGAACTTCACAACCAGACCTTGCACTTATGACCATCGCAGCATTCCCGAGGTCACATGATTGAGATCCAGGCGCTTCGCAACCAGCAGGCCTTTATGATGGTTGCAGCGTCCTGTGGTCACGTGATTGCCATTTGTGACCTTTACAGCCAGCTTCTGACAAGCAGAGTCAATGGAGAAGGTAGTAGTAAAATCACAAGTCATGGTCGCATGATGTTTCACTTAACGACTGTGGGTGTTTTGCTTAATGACTGCGGCGGAAGTGAAGTAAGCCTGTCACAGTCATGTGATGCCTCATTTAGTGACTGTCACTTAGCAACAGAGTTGCTGGTCCTAATTGCACCAGGTAGTCATGGGAAGGACAATTTCTCAAAACGGGTTTTGTTCCATCATGCCCTTTTATCTCCATTTCCTTGGGTGCACCTGGTTCAAGGACAATTTCTCAAAACGGGTTTTGTTCCATCATGCCCTTTTATCTCCATTTCCTTGGGTGCACCTGGTTCAAGGACAATTTCTCAAAACGGGTTTTGTTCCATCATGCCCTTTTATCTCCATTTCCTTGGGTGCAGCCTGGTTCCTTATGCAAAGCAGCATCCAGAGAAAGGATTGTTTTGTTGATAAGCCAAAATAACAAAGGTTCTTCTTCTGACACTAAACTTGGATTTTAAAAAGGCCTTAAAAAACTGGATCTTCCTTCAGGCTTTAGCGTCAGGGTGCTGAGAGAGCCTGGGCT